TTCCTGCATTCAGTGTCAATCTCCAGCTACAGAAGCTGATGAAGCAGATCTCTGCTTAATCAGCTTCTCTGGGGGTCCCTAGGTGATATGAGGGGTCTTGGAGACCCTTGGAGAGACCCCATCCGCTCACAGCGCTCTCCTCCCGCAGCGCTCGGCCGGCTATCCCACTTTCTCTCCTCCCCACTGGGACACAAGGCAGTGCCCAGCGGGGAGGAAAGAAAGCAGTGATGCGCCGATGGATCGGCAGGAAAATGGCACTTTTGGCATTATGCTAAAAGTGCCATTTTCGGCCGATTTGTTTCGGTGTCCAGTCAGTCAAAAATTTCACCAGTCAGCATAACCGGACTATAGCCTTGCAATTTATGTTAAACATTTTTGGGGACAGATAGAGCTTTCTTTTGTGACCCCACAGGGGGTTATTTTTTTTTTTAACTATATAATGAATACAGGTATTCCTCACTTAATGACCAAGTTCCGTTCCTACGACCAGGTCGTTAAACGGATTGGTCGTTAAGTGAGGAACTCTATACAGTACTGTACTGCATTAGTACAGTACTGTATAGCGTTGCCGATGTACAGTACCGAACAGTGTACTGTGCATCGGGCAATGAAAATACTTACCGGGACCCGCAGTGAAGATCGGAGGACACCACTTCCGCCGGCGACGCGGCGCATTGCACCAAGCACTGCGGGAGGAGAGCGCTGTGAGCAGCCGGCGTCTCTCCTCCCACACCACTCAGCCTCCTATCACAGTCAGGCAGAGCGGTGTGTGGGCGGAGACAACCAGCGCTGTCACAGGAGGCTGAGCTCTCCTCCCTGCACCGCTCGCTCAGCCTCCTGTGACAGCTGTCAGGGAGGAGAGTGAGTGAGTTTGTAGATAATTGAGGACATGGTATGGTTAATATATCCTCAATTGTAAATGAATGGGAAGTGATTTAAGTCACCTTCTGTTCATTCATAAGTGTGGATATACTAAACATACTCTGTTCTCATGTTATCAATGAACAGGAGCACTCAGAGGATTCCTGTTCATTAATAACAGGGGATACAGAAAAAGAGATTGAGGACTTTGTGTCCTCAATCTTTTTTTCTAATTTAAAAAAGGGAAATATCAGGGGTCTGTTTAGATCCCTAATATTTCCCCAAAGCCCCTAAAAGTAAAGTAAAAAAGTAAAATATTTAATAAAAAAATGAATTAATAAAAATAAAAAGGTTTATAAAAAAATTTGAAAAAATTAAAATAAAAAACATTTTCGATTTTGGCCTGACAATTTGTTCTATTTCAATAAAGTGTCAGTTTTAAAATTTACATTTCGGTGCACCTCTAATATATTTCATGATTATAATTTTTTTTGGGCATTATCCCAGTACATTATTCTAGTAACCCTTTATTTTTTAGTAAATCTGGATTAGAAAATAATTAAGTTGCATTTCGATAATGGATGTTGAGAAATGTTGCTTAATTAAAACCCACATTGCCTTCAGGCGATAGAATTAGCAAATTCATGTTGCCACACTATGCAGTCCTACACGGATGTAAACACAAATATTAAATTTACAGTTCTCAAGCTTTAAATTATTTATAGGAAGGGTCCATTTCTGAAACAGCTGAAATTTGCCATGCAGAAAACTGTGTGTAAACACAAATTGCTATATTATTGCCTTTCCCCAATGTAGTGATTATGACTGCTGATGACAGCTAGGAAAAGGGGCCACTTTAATTTGTGGAGCAGCAATCATTAATATATCAAGGCCTCCTAAACGTCCCCCTCGTACAAAGGGCCTCGCCTATCAAGCCTGGGAAAAGAACACTTGGAAACTAACTGGTTGGACACAAAGTATTCTTATATTTATTAGGGTAGAGCTATTGGGAAATGGCATAGTGCATAGCTAAGGGGTCTAGACATAAATCAGTACTGAGATTATTCCTTAACACTGGGGGTCTTACGTTTTATATTTTTTTCCATATGTCATCTAGGCGACACAGTAATAATTATTATTACTACTACTACTACTACTACTAACAGTGATATGTTGTATAAAAGATTATTGATATTTTCCCCATCCCCAATGACGTTTGAGATATTTTTTTCTCGTGGGAAACATAGGTGGTTATTATAATTGATAGCGTATCCAACACCAAGGGGGATTTAGAATTCATGAATATTATAGCAAAGGAAGATCAATTTTTGCAGTCCTAGTGGGTTTCCCCTATATGAGTAACAATGATGAAATTCTATACCAGGATTGTAAGGGCAAAACCACCAAATTAGTATCTTTTATGTTATACATTTTCCAGCATACACAAGTGTTTCAGGGAAATCACATCCAACCAAATCTTGTAGTTTATCTCTGATGTCTTAGGCTAAAACTAGTATTCTAGATCTTAGCATCAAAATTAATCAAAGTCTATTTCGGGGTAAGGATAAAGGGATATACAAGTGGTAGGCAACCTTTGCACTCCAACTGTGCTGCAAATACAAATCCCGTCATGCATCTGCAAGTCATGCCTGTGGCTGTCAGCGTCTTGCAATGCCTCATGGGACATTTACGTTTTACCTTCCTGGAGGGTTAACTGTAATGGTGACCATAGGTTTAGGGTAGGCTTAGAGGGTCAGGGATGGGTGTACAGTACTTCTGGTCCTATAAGGGTCCCCACAGTACTTTTTCTGGTCCCCTAAGCGTCACCATACAATCAGCTTTAGATATACCAAAACTATGACTATGAGGACCTACCTAATCAATCCATTTGTGTTTAATCAGGCAGGCCCTTGCATTACATATATTTGTTGCAGATCTAAAAGGAGATGGTACGAGCAGATTCTAAAGTGCATGGTGAGCTGCCAGTGCTGTGCTCTATGCACGTAAACCCAATTTATTCTGAACTTCCACCAGTGCTCTTCACATGATACAGCACTAGAGCACTGGTCACATTATGTTGTCTGCTGAGCGAGGCTTGGAATGCCCTTAAAGTGGAACTTGACCCATCACCTTAATGGCCTTTCAAAAGAGTTACTTTCAAGGCATGCCAACTGTCAAGGTTGGCAGTGTGCTTATTTCAGCTCTCAACTGAACCTTCAAGCCCTCAGATGGCTCGTGTCATAGCTGGTCACCTGCGCAGCACCATGACAACTGCAAACCAGAGGCCAAGATGGCACCTTCTATGGCTGTAAAGGATAAGATGGTGTAGTTCAGTTTTAAAATTGTTAGCAGAGATCACATGACCAATTAGGAGCACCAAGGGAGGAATAGAGCACCCTTCTCCACAGAAAAGGGAAGTGCTATGCCATAAACTGAAGTATTCTGCTCTACATTGCACTACATGCAATAAATGGGACAATCACAAAAACCAGTATAGAATTCCAGAATCCCGTGCTACCAGATTCCTTCAAGAAGAACTGTCACCAATTCTTGAAAGGTTCACAAAAAAGTAACTGATAAAACCATTTTTCTCTGCCAAATAGAAGAGATATGCTTACCCCCTTGTGCAATCCAACAATACCATGCACTCATTTTAAGTTTTCTATTGCCTTGACGCTCCTGCACTGCCATTTTGTTTACCGTCATATGGTGATCCAGCAGTTTTTTGCCTAATTTTCTTAGGTGACCCTCCTCATGATGCACCACCACATTCTACACATGCAAACCCCAGGCTCTAGCCCAACATTTCTGCCTTCCTCAGGGGTGCCTCAAAATGTTGTAGTAGTTGGACTGTAATGTGAAGGGAGGATGTCATGGGGCTCCTGATGTAAAGGGGGGACTCCAATATAAAAGAGGGGCTCCTAATGTAAAAGGGGAGCCCTGAGAAGTGGGGGTACTGATCTAAATGAGGACTCTGATGTGAAGGGGGCCACCCACTTTTATGTATGTTTTTGCATGGGGTCCCCATCTATGACACTTTAGACTCGGGTGCCTCAAGATTTTGACTGAAAAAAAGGTTGAGAAACGCTGCCCTAGGTGATTTTTTTAAAACTTGTGCATCTTTTATGATATTTAAGTTGTCATCTGAGAAGAGATATCATGATAATTTATTGAGCACACACAGCAAACCAGCTAAGATTAACAAAATCAAAAAAGAGGTGAAAGGTCCGTTAAGTCAATAGTAAGCTTATTATTTTGATTTGAAATTTCACCACATCTCTTTCATTATGGACTATCGGGAATTGTTTTGTGCATCCTACAACATAGGCCTGGCCCTATACAAATCAGAATGATAAAAAAAATGAATAAG